TATTTTCTTCATCCCACCTCTCTCTTTGCTAAATTTCATTGTTCCTTTCTCTACTACTTACAAAGCTAACTTTTCTCCCATGCTCATTTTAACCACCAACATTCAAGCACCACAGTAAAAGGACCATCAGTGCACAGAGAACATGTGTTAAAAGTTCTGCCCTCCTTGAGATGTCACTTCTTTGTAAAGCATTATTTTTGGCTAAGTGCAGGCTTCTCTGTGATTCTTACAGCTTTCATTAAATCTTGGTTAATATTATAGGAGTCTATGATACATATTAAATTCATAGATTTAATACTTTAAATCTATATACTTTAAAAATTCAACTTTGGGGCTAGTAAGATATCTCTGAGAATAAAGGCATTTTGCCATGCAATCTTGATAGCCAAGTTTGGTCCCCAGAACTCATGCAAATTCAAAAAGAGAGAATAGACCCCACAAAGTTGTCTTCTGGCCTCAACATATGAACCATGGCATGTGCATAGCTCACCCATAAGACATGTATCACATGCCATGGATACACACACACACACACACTGATAGTACATTTTTGAACCATCACCTTTCTTGTTGTTTTCTAATCTACCTCACAGTGCATTATGGGAAACTGGAGATGGCTGTTATTATCCAGCATCTTAGTAAGGCTGCTGAATTAGTTTATACTGAGTCTCACTTCCTGAATGCTCTGACTCTCAAGGCGAAAGGCAGAGGATCAGCAAATACTATCTGAGAGGATGCTGTGGTATACAGATTAGCTAACTGCTTGACTGGAATGGGAAGAGGGCCAGTGAAGATGAGGAGAAAGAACAGGGAAAAGGGGGGAGGGGAAGAGAAGGAAGGAGACGGCAAAAAAAGTAAGGATAGGAGGAAAGGGGGAAAATTCTCTCTTATGTGTACCTAGAGTTCTACCTTACAGCATAATTATCACTTATCCAATCTCAAATTTCTACCTAAATATCATTTCTCCCACACAACAGAGACAGACAGACAGACATAAGGAGACAGACAGACAGACAGACAGAGAACTCTCTGAACCTCCAAGTCTTGGCTACCGGTACCACAATTATTGTCTTTGCAGTTATTATTGTATACAATTTTATTTTTATAATGAATGCTATTAGTGTGCTTTTTCTTAAATTTTTTTTCTTTCCTCCAAAATCCAGGTCAAAGGTCTGTGAATTCTGAAGAATGCAAAGTCAAGAGGGCTGGAATCCGGCCCCAAGGTAACACCAGCCTAGCATGTGTGGGGTCATGAGTTCAGTCTCTCACACTGTCAAAGGGGAGGCAAGGCTCTAGGGCCCTGGGATAGGACACAGTGCAAGCGTTCTTATCTCAGCGTTATAGAAAAGGAGAGTGTTGCACCCAAGCTAGCAAATTATCTCTCTCATTGGGACAGAGATCTATGCCTGTTCCAATTAACAATGGGGGCCATTTCCAAATCTTAGAATCTGCCAGGTAGCAGAGTTGCTGTCAAGGCAGGAAGTGGCTTAGGGTGAAGAGACTGTTCTCTGTCACAGGGTGCAGAAGAGGTGGCCTCTAACAGGCATATTGGAGAAGACTTATGAAGAAAGTCTTTTTTTTTCTTTCCTTCTTTCAAGAAAAAAAATTTATGGTTTAATAACTATAGAAGAAATAATTCTGGATTAAACTCTTAAGTTTTCTCAGTTTAATTAATACTTAGTTTCCAAAAAAAGACAGCCTCTGCTTCTCTCTCTCCTTCTGTTATCTCCTCCCGTCTTGCTCTTCCTCGGCTTGGCTCCCAGCCTGTTTATTTATCTATCTATTTTGAGATAGTGTTTCAAGTTACCCAGGCCAAAGATGACCTAGAACTTCTGATCCTCTTCCTGACTCCTCCTCTTCTTGAATGTGGGATGATGGGCATGCACCCCCATAATCTAGTTTATGCAGCACAGAGGATCAAATTCTCCGGGCTTCTGCATCCTAAGCAAGCATGCTACCAACCAAGCCATGCCCTGCCCCCCACCATACCCACTCCAGTCTCCTTAAAGGACCTTAGACTTCATGCCAAAGATACAAAAGCTTCTGCTGACTGGACTCTCTTCCTATGGACTCCTTGGGTCAAGGAAACCAGCCTGTTCTACCACCCAATCATCAATCCAATGAGAGTTTCCCTTTAGATGTTATCCAATATTATTACATTTTCTCTGTGGGTCAATGTAATGACTAGTTCCCATCTATGAGTTACTTTGTTTATACTTTCCCATTCTTCTCGATGGAGTCCCACATACTGAGTATAATGCCAAGACTCTGTCTTCGGGCTCTTCATGTACAATGGACAAGAACACACAAAAATCACTCCTTTACAAGAAGATGGGGGTTCGTGTGCTGAGAAACATATGCATGGGACGGTGGGTTTCAACTGGCTCTCTAGCAAAGATGAACAATCATAGCAAAATGCGTATCTTCCTTTGTGCTGCTGCTGCTGCATTAGCCAAAGTTCTGAGTAGCTGCATGATCCTTTATGGGTCTTTTCTTTTATAAGCTTAGTTCAGGGGACCAGTATGTCTTTGATGCCTGCTGTTTAGGGCAAACAAGAAAAGAGGAGAGGTCCTCGGTTATTAACAGTTTTTGAGGGGATTCTGACACATAGGAAGGAGTCTCCATCATCCTTTCTCCACAAAAGTGGCTTAGTGGAGGGAGTTCCTCCTAGGCCTAAGGTAGATAGAGTCAGAAGATACCCAAGTTCAAGTCTCAACTCTGCTTTTCTGTCATAGTATTTCATCCTTCTGAACTTCAAAACCCTCATCTGCTGAGGGAATAAGATTAAATGGAGAAGTTGGGAGTGGCCTGACCAGCTTGGTTCCTTCACACTGAGGACTAGCCAAAACTACAACACAATGGGTGACAGCCATGGACAAAACTCAGAACTGAGCACAGGGCTTCTTTCTAGCCACCTGAAAAAGGGAGTTGGGGCCATTTTATCTGGAGAGTAAACAGAAGGTGCAATCCTTCTACTCAGTTCTGTTTAATTTACTTTTTGTTTGTGTTATATGTGTTTATGTTATATGTTATATGTGTTATATGCATTTAAAGTGAGGAAGCAGATAATAAGCTGAGGGGTATGTAAATGACAAATTTTACCAACTAGACAAGTCTGAACATATACTTCTTCTCTTTCTCCAAATACAGATAACTATTTTCAATAAAAGAGGGTGCATGTTATATTGCTGTTCTGTATCCTGCTTTTTCTAGCCACTGAGACATAGTCATCTTTTATTTTCCAAGTGATATAATATTAATGCCATTGTTTAACTAATAACACTCAGATAAAACAAAATTCATTTAATCAATTCCATAATATAGTTATTATTTGGGTTGTAAGAATGTAGCCAGGTCCTCTGGGCTCAACAATTTGCTTCTACCTAGGGAAATACACTATGACCCCAAGGCTTTGGTTTTGCCATCTCCAAAATGAGAAATATATTCTCTATAGATACATGAAAACATGTTTCTATATACTAATATACTACATAAATGCTTATATGCATCAAAGATGCTAAAGAAGTACTATTCTCCATGGAATGAAAACAAGAAGAAATTCATTTGACATGCTGTTGATTAAATTAAGTTCATGTATATTCCTGTGTGGACCTCAGAAAAGAGCAAGGGCTGATTCAGCCTGGGTAAGTTGCCTTTTATCTGTCTATTCTTTCTAAGGGGAGAAAGTAATACACAGCTCTGATATAAATTCAGTCCTTTTTTTTTTCCTTAGAGGGATATGGATCCAGTAAAAATCAATTTCTCTTGGAAAGCAGGGTAAGTCATTAGACCTGGTCTTAACTGTCTGCTTGCTGTACCTGTGGTATGTTTGTAACTAGCATCACATTAAATGTCCATCTCTTGAATGACCTTGCAAGGTTATGAAAGAAAAGAAATATGGCAGCCTTGACAGATACTAGCACACATTGAGCTTAATATTAACATATTTAGAACCTTCTAGAGTTTCAGCGTCTCTAGCTCCTACCTTCCCAAGCCATGGAAACAAATCTACTTACTTCAGGCATTAGTGAACTGAAGCTTTCAAATGGGGTCTCATCTCTGGGGTTTAATGGTTGAGATTGATGACAAAGATTTCTAAAATTCTTATATGCCCCATAAATTAGCTCTATAACTTATTTATAGAGTTTAAAAGAGACTTGCCTTCAATTGCATCTTCTTATTTCTTCATTCATATTAATCTAAGCTACATGTAAGAGACTAAAAAGTATTTCAAACAGCTTATTTTTTTTAACTTACTATTCATTAACAGCAGACAAAAACAAACTAAAGACTGGTCAATACCAGAAAATCAGCTTTGGTTATTTGAGGGGCTGTTTTCTAAGCTCCTGAGATGAAGTGATTCTGACTAAGGTGCAGTCCAAGCTAAAGCAAAACACTGATGAGTGCTCCAAAAGGAATGGGTTTCAAGCACACAGCCCTCCACGCAGCCCCAGTATACCTCTGAACCATACCACTCAAGTACACCTCCTCAGATATAATCTCTCTTCTAAAAGCAAGGCTTCTGAGTAGGAAAAAATCTTATAGGATAAGATAACCTAATCTATGCAAAATAGGGAAGAACCTATATGGCAAAATCTATATGCCAAAGGAGGGCAAATTTTAGTGCCTCATACAACAGTTTGCAATTACGAGTTTGCAGAATTCTTGGCAGCATGAATAAAGCACATACCTTAAAAGAAGAAATGAATACAAACGTGTTCTTATTTTATATATGCAACTATGAAAAAAAGCTAAAATTATATGCACCCTAAAAAAAGAGGAAGGAAATACTCCCAACTGCCAATCAAGTCTATCTTGTGGTGATGTTTTCTATATTCTACAATATTTTTGTACTTTCTCCTCTTTTTTCAGTTTACCATATAACGTGGTAGAACAAACACTGATAGCCAAACAGATCAAGCTTACTTTCCACATGCCATTCCTCTAGGACCCATCAAAGCATGGCTTTCAGTAACAAATGAACACGAGTGGAAACCTACCTGAGCCTCTGCCTTCAGCTGTTCTCTGGTTTGACTCTGCTCTGACTCGCGGCTTCTCCCCCACTACAACGCAGCTTGTTTATCTAAAACAAAAGTGAAACGGCCACTGTTTATGAACAGTGTCAGCCAGTAGCAAGACGAGAAGGAACTTGAGCCAACAGGACTTCAGCTTTATGGCACTGTCATGGGAGTGGGTGCTGGATTCTTTTTTCAGAAGTCAGAGAACTTCCAGTTAGTGACTGTCAACCTCTTTCAAGTCATGTTGGAATTGCCCTTCCTATGAAGATTGTTTTTGGTTGGGGTTTTTCTTTTCTTTCCTTTCTTTCTCTCTTTTTTTTCTTTCCATTAGCACCTTTTGCAGGATGTGATGGACAAGGAGCTGGGGGAGAGGTTTAAGTAGCTATTATTTCTCCGAAAGGGTTTCTGTTCCCACGCCAAGCCCATCAGTGCAGCCTTTCACGCCCAGTTCTGCAGCCTGCTTTAGAGCACTCTGACTACTCTCTGACTTTCTCAAGTTCTCAGTTACTCCACTGAAAAGTCTCTGCAAAGGTCACCAATAGTCTCTTGGCTCCCGTAACATGTTCTTTCTCTCTTTTCCTTTTCCTTTCTCCCTTGCTTGAATAGTTAGCTGTAGAAACTTGTTTTCAATCTACCTGGCTCTTTTTTCCAACTTTCAGAATGATTCTCCTTTGCCTCCTGTGACTGAATAACTAATGTCCCCTCACAGGTTCAGGTACTTGAACACTGGGTCTCAAGTCAGTGGTGCTATTCTGGGTAATCAGGGAGGTGGTACAGCCTCACAGGAGGAGGCATGGCACCGGAAGTGGCCTGTGAGAGTTTATCCCCTCACTCCAGTTCTAATACGCTCTCTCTGCTTCACATTTTCAGATCCAGATGTGATCTCTCAGCTTCCTGCTCTGGCCACTTACCACCATGTCTCCCAGGTCATATGGACTCTCTGGAGCCAAAACCCCAACAAACTCCTTCCTTATATTGCCTTTGGTCATGATATTTTACTATAGCAACAGAATAGTGCCTAATACACCCCCATTTCAGATTGCTCTTTTCCTATTAGTTTTCCAGGTGCAAGACTTTCCTAAGGATTTCTGCCTTCTTTGTTTCTTCTTCTCTTGCCTATATATAACTTATCCTCAGCCAAATTCATTTTAAAATCTATACAATATCAAAAATGACCCCTGAATATTCAATATAATCTCAAAACAGAACAATCAACCTAGAATTCTCAAACTTCATAATCTCAAAACAACACACTACTATAGCTATTATAGCAGTTTTGTTGATATAATTACAGACACATGGACCAACGAAAGGGAATAGAGTGTCCCAAGTTAATCCTTCCATGCATAGTTAAATCATTTTAAATAAGGTGTCATGGCCATCTAATGAGGGGATAGTATTTTCAATAAATTCTATAGAGGAAAAATCAAATCCACATACCAAACACTCAGTACTATATACCCATATGCAAAATTTAACTCAAATTGAACAGGAGGCCTAAACGTGAGAACTAAAACTATAAAAATCTTTGAATGTACAATGAAACATTTATGACTTGAAATTTCACAATGATTTCTTGATTATGACACTTAAGCCATAATCAAAGAAATAAATACACAAATTCAGTACAGAATCAATGAAAAGCATGTGGATTAAAAGCTGGCAGTGGGAACCTTGTGGTACACTGCTTGTCACCACGCATGTGAAAAGCTGTGAGTTCCACCTCACAACACACATGGAAAGACACTAACATCATAAAAAAAGACAATCTAAACAAAAGAGAAAAATTATTTGCTGCTCATATTTGACAAGGGAGTACTATATAGCATGTATAGAGAACTCCTCCAGTGTTTTTCACACCTAAATGTAAAATGTGAAAACACTTGAATAGCTAATTCTCCACACAAAATAGCCATATAAATATGGATAAATATGGTCTATAGAGAAGCCACCATCCAGTTTGACCAGGGAAGTCTGTAGGCTAACTGCAGATCTTCACATCTCCCTACTTTCCTCCAAATCCAGTTCCCCAGTCTCATCTCCAGCTCCGTACCACACCACCTGCTGTAGCCTCTCCCTCTTCTCTGTCCCCATCTCCAGCTGATTACAGAGTTCTTTTCCTCCAACCTCCAAACACTCCAAACACACACACACACACACACACACACACACACACACACACACACACACCCCATGTTAGTTCAGCCTCCATCTTGAGCAGGCAAAAATACCTGGGAACTTACCTTCATATATACAAATGATAAATGGACTGAAAAAGAAATCAGGAAAAAAATAATACCTTTCCCAATAGTCTCAAATAACATAAAGTGTCTTGAGGTAACTCTAATCAAGCAAGTGACGGATTGTATGATTAAAAACTTGAAAACACTGAAGAAATAAATTGAAGAAGATATTAGAAGATGGAAAGATCAACCTCTGGGTTAGTGTGATTAGCATAGTAAAAATGGCCATCCTACCCCACCCCTAAAACATCTATAGATTCAGTGCAATCCCCATCAAAATTTTAACATAATTCCTTGTAGATCTTAAATAGATATTTATTAGCTTCTTAGGGAAATACAAAAAAACAAGGATAGCTAAAAACACTCCTGAATAATGAAAGAACCACTGGAGCTATCACCATCCCTGACCTCAAACTGTAGTACTGAATTAGAGCAATAAAAGCATCATAGAACCAACATAAAAATAATAAACAGTGGAATTGAATTGAAGACCCAGACATAAGTCCACACACTTATGGGGACCTTATTTTTAATAAAGAAACCAGAAATAGACAGTGGACAAAAGAAAGCATCTTCAACAAATGGTCCTGATTAAACTGAGTGGCTGCAAGTAGAAGATCCAAATAGATCCAGATTTATCACCCTGCACAAAAGTCAACTCTAAATGGGTCAAGGACCTTAACATAAATCCAGATACACTGAACCTGACAGAAGAGAAAGGGGAAATAGCCTTGAACCCATTGGCACAGAAAAAAGACTTTCTGAACAGAACACTGTTAGCTAGGCACTGAAACCAACAATTAATAAATGGGATCTCACGAAATTGAAAAGCTGTATAGCAAAAGCTACCATCATTCAGACAAAGCAGGAGGCTACAAAATGGGGAAAGATTCTTTGTTTACCAACTATATGTCCCATAGAGGGCTAATATCCAACATATACAAATAACTCAAAAGACTAGATATCAAGAAAATAAATAACCTAAAATTGAAAATGGGATATATTTTAAAACAGATAATTCTTGAAAGAGAAAACTTGAGTAGCTGAGGAATCCCTAAAGAAGTGTTCAATATCTTTAGCCTCCAGAAAAATACAAATCAAAACTACTTTGAGATTCCATCTAACACCAATCAAAATTCCTAAGATCAATAAAATAAATGACAGCTCATGCTGGCAAGGATGTGGAGTGGGAGTAGCACTTATCCACTGCTGATATGACTGTCAATTTGTACGGCCACATGGAAATCAGTGCTGTGGTACCTCAGGAAGATGGAGGTCATCTACTTCAACACCTAGCATATACCCAAAGAGATATATGGTGGGCTTCAGCCCACCACAGAGATACTTGCTCAACCATGTTCATTTCTTCTTTATTCATAATAACCAGAAACTAAAAACAACTTAGATGTCTGTCAAAAGAAGAATGGATAAAGAATATATGGTACATTTACACAATGGAATATTACTCAGCCATTAAAAAGAATAAAACTCAAAGGTAAATGGATGTAACTACAACAAACCACCCTGAATGAGGTAACCCAGAAAGACAATTGTGGTATGTATTGGCTTATGTGTGGATATGAACTGTCATTGATATGCAAGCTACAATCTGTAGAACCACAGAGGTTAGGTACAGAGTAAGAGGCTAGGGAGAAATAGAGATTCCTATGAAAAGGAAATAGAATAGATAGCTATGGATTGATGTGGGGATGGAACAGGAAGATCAAGTGGGGAGGGGCAGGGAAGAGTGGAAATACTGAGCTTACAGGATAAAGGTCCTTGTGTCCACAGATCTCCAAGGAGACCAGGAATGTTAAACATGCAGGATTATCTTCTCAATAAGAAAAATGTAAAACTTGTTCTTCCACCCAAAAATCTGGGAATTGGAGGGATGAATAGCCCAGTGGCTCTTTATTTTGAGCCAGCCATATCAAGCTCCTATAACCTAATAGACTACAGGTGGCTAGTAATCTAAATGACCCTTGTAGACAAAAGTTCCCCAAGCTCCCACAACCAGGACTGTAAATACCTAATAGTCTAAATGACCCTCACATTATCTATATAGCCAGGGGATTCCCAAAGCTCCCACAACCAGGACTAGAGGTGACTAATAGCCCAGATGAACCCTATGCAATCTGTATGACTAAGACTAGATCTGATCCTTCCCTAGACCCTTAAGCTAATACAAGTAACCTATCTAGCTTCCCTGCCAGCCATGACTACCTACAGAGTCTCCTTCAGGGGATAAAGGAGGGAATATGAGGAGAGACAGATAAAATTGAGTGGTAGTATGGAGACCTAATAACTCTTTAAAATATATATATATTTGTCAGGGTTCTCCAGAGAAACAGAACTTATTATATATATATGGAGAGAGAGAGAGAGAGAGAGAGAGAGAGAGAGAGAGAGAGAGAGAGAGATGAAAAAATATACTTTTACTCCAGAATTTTTTATTTTTTTTTGATATGGTCTTTCTAATAGTCCTAGCTGTCGTATAGATATAGATGATATAGATATAGATATAGATATATATTCCTACCATATATGTGTATACATATATATGATAGATAGATAGATAGATAGATAGATAGATAGATAGATAGATAGATAATTAGACATATATACTACATATCGAATCCCTAATGAGATTTATTAGGGCTTACTGTGGTCCAGCTAATTCAGCAACCAAAAAGAGGTCCAAGAATCCAGCAGTTATCAGTCCATGAGGCTGAATCCTGAAAAAATAGACTTTACTGCCAGTGAAGAAATGAACTTACTAGCAAGCTTCCTTCTTCAATGTCC